CTTCTTCTGAAGCAGATTCTTCAGAGTTTCCTTCTTCAGCCTGAAAAGCGTTAGTTTCATATTTTTAAATTGATTTAAGGGCAACAAACTTACCTTTCTTATGAGGCTCGTGCTCATCAAGTTCTATATCATGACTTCTTAGAGCGCTGATGAGTTCTTCAAGAGACACATTGTTCAGATCTTTTGATACTTTGAAAGCAGTGACCATAGGAGCCCATCTTCTGGGTAGACTTCTGATAATCTTCTTGACGTGGTCTGCCTTATGTATCCCTTGTTCAGAACTCTCAGGCCAGCTATCAGAGTTTGGAATCTTGAGAACATAGCTTCTATTGATTCACTTTATTCTACTTTGAAGGCTTCATACTTCTGGATGAGAGCCAGAGCTTTAGATTCCTTCACTTGAGCGTTTCCTTCATGAGTCATTTTGAGAGACTCAAACATATCATGTGTTGTATCTCTATTTGTGATCTTCTCATATTCCACTTTAGAGATAGCATTTAGAAAGATATTTCTAGCTCTATGGTGATTTTTGAAATCAACTTTTTGTTGTCTATCCATAATCTTTCTATCAATCTTGTTTCCTTCTGAGTCTGTAGGATGTGTGTAACCATCCAAGACTATATCCCATAAATCACTATCATGACCTAGAAATAAACTTTCTAGTCTATCTTTCCAATATTCAAAATCTTCTCCATCAAATACAGGAGGTTTGTTGTAGCTATTGTTGTTTTGTTCAGTTTCCATTTGTGTTTTCTTTCTGGATCTTTTCCTGACACAGTTAAGTGTTGCGCTCAGAGTCAAGCTCTGATACCAATTGAAGGTGAGAAAACACTTAAAAGAGGGGGGGGGTGAATAAGTTTCTCTTTTTCTTTTTCTTAAAGGCTCAAAAAATAATGGAAAGACACAGTTATTTTTATCCTGGTTCGTTTGAACTCAAACTACTCCAGTCCACCCGCCAAGGTGATTTCGCCTTTCTCAACAAGGACTTAATTCACTATAATATAACTGATTACAATCACACAACAACTGTTGTGACTAACAGTACAATGCACAAGTAAAATTACAAGTGACTAACACCAGTAAGACTCAAACTAGTCCTAGCCTTCTTGAGAAATCTGACCAAACTTGGTCTCTCAAGGAACAATTACAAGAATTAAATCTTTATAGATAGTGAAACAAATTTGCTTCTTAGAAAGCTATATCACAAACTGTGATTTTTCACTAATATTAGTTTTGTACAAAGTGTTTGTAAAATGATTTGAGATCTTCAGAATATTTTCACGTAGTTGGGCTGAGAAGTTGGCTTGTAATAAATGATCTTCTATTTATAACATTAGCAAAATGACCGTTGCTGCCTTCAAAAGTGGAGAGCAATAAATGTTTGCGTGTTTGCTTGCAGTATTGCATTTTCCAATGAGCTAGCGTAGACACTTGAGTGCATGTAGCCGTCTTTGCATTAAATGAACAAACGGAAATTGTCAGAGCATGTTTACTGAAACTTGACAAGACTTGTTAGCTTCTAGCTTCACATCTTGCTTCAGAACATGCTTGCAAATCTTCTTATCAGCGCTTGATTTCAAAGTACTTTTGAACATGGTTGCTTCACGTCTTGCTTCAGAATATGCTTGCAACTCTTCTTATCAACGCTTGCTTTTAAAGTACTCCTGAACATGGGTTACATGGAAAATTTTTAAGCTTTAGAAGATGCATAAAATAGTTTCTTATCAGAGTCAACATCAGAACTTGCGCTAAAACAAATAGTTCTTTCATCAAAGAACTTCTTCATTTATTTTCAGCTCAGCACGTCAAATACTTCTGTCAGAACATTATCTGTAACAAATAAATATGCTCATCAGAGTATCAATTATATAAAATATATTTTATTGTTATCATCAAAACTCTGAGATATGATCAGAACCAATCTTGTTCTAACAATAAGACGTTAGTGTTAAGGGTCCTGAGTTCTAGCCCAAAAACACACTTTTTTATATTTATTTCCTGACATTTTTACTCCATTAGTTGGACCAGAACTTCTAGATCAATCCCCTTTAATTGCTTGTCAAAACAGTGACCCTGGACCAGAACCTCTAGACATTCCCATCCAACAACATTGACACCTCACATATCCATTATCAGAACTTCTAGCTTGCCATTAACACTAGAACTTCTAGATTTCTAGCTACATCAGAATTTCCAGACTCTCTCAACAACCAATACTTCTGACCTTCTAGTAACATTAGAACTTCTAGGCTTCCAGTTGCATCAGAACTTCTAGGATTTCCCTTTTTCTCAACAACCCGAGAACTTTATTGTGTACTCGGCCCCAGAACTTCTGACCTTCCCCTTCTCTGCTAACATTTTCTTTCTGACTTGCAATGCTCCAGAGTCAGAACTTCTGTTCTCTCTTATTTCAGCAACGCGCTGATTCTGACCCCTTTTCCTCTTATTATTTTTATCATCATTTTATTTTCAATAATCAAAAACACTAAAAATATTTTTTCACCTGCTTTATCTTATTTCTTTTAAAACCAAAAGATAAAAAATATTTACTTAAGAAAACTTATTTTCTTCTCTTAACAAAAACAAAAGAAGTCCATTTCATTTCATGTACATTATTTCGATATGGTTGTAATAGATAATTAGGACTTTAATTTCTTGCAAACTTCCATTTGTAAATTTGTACACCCCATCCCCCTAATGATTGTAATAGCGTAGAATATTTACTTTCCGCAATTTATCGCTTTCATATAAATGCTAGTAATTAGGATTTGTATGGGAAGATAAAATCAACAAGTAGACAATCCCTAATCAAAGATTAAATACATGTAAATCAAACACACTACTCACACATGCACCCATAGGGTAATTCCACTTGTTGCCTTATGAAAATGGTCATGTTATGTATGTGGGATGTCTTAGCAAAAACAATTAAAATACAAGATCATAGTCTCTCGATGACGCTCCGAATGTTGTCTTACAAATGATCTTAGTCCCTCAAAGATAAATGCTAAGATATCTCACAATATTGCTATCATGGCTATACGATGACCCACACCCGTCCTTTACATCCAAAGATAAAGCTTCTTACCAAATCAATGGTAAGATAGCAACCTCTAAAGGAGGAGGAAAAGAACAAAGACTTTTGAGTAGGTAGAAACTTTCTTAGTTGCTTGCTCATTTTCAAAACAAACATCCTTGCGAACACACACCAAACATTTTCAAAACATGAAATATTTTCAAAAGTCCAACACTTTGTATACATTCTTATAAGACGAGGACCATTGCAAAGTTTGCCTAAACGAAGGCGCTTTTCAAAAATATTTTCAAAAACCACCACAAAGCACACTTTCAAACAAAGTAAGTGATCTAGCAAGTAACTAAGAGCCCATAGATAACTATAGATGAAAAGGGTGTTAACACCTTCCCTTTTCATAATCTACCCCCGAACTCAAGAAAATAATCTCAAAGTTCTTTCCTGTTCTTTTCACTCATTCCTTTATTGGATAAAAAAAGTCAGTGGCGACTCTTGCTAACCGCAACAATTGCGATCAAACGCAAAACATCACAAGTCAGTTCTCCCACCGTATTACACCTAGTACCAACAAATTGTTATATTTAGATGTTGGAATATTATTTGTTATTCAATTTATTTGAATGAATGTAAATTCATGGAATTTTCTTTTGTAGATTTTATAATTCTGAAATTAATGTAAAAAAGTTTATTTCATAAATATGTATATATTTTTTAATTTATATAAATTTAATTAGAAGTCATGTGATCCAACCAATAACTCATTAATCTAATTAGTAATCCAATGTTTAAATAATTTAATAGAATTGATGATCAGTCCGAGTTTTAAACATTGATTCAATTGCACGTGAGTAATCAATAATAATCTCGGTGTAAAAAAGAAAATCTTTATATATTATTATTCTAAAGTTAATTATTTCCTAAAAGAAAATTGTTTAAGGTATTTAAAACAACAAGTTTGTTATTCTTATAATACTTCTTATACCTACACCGTATTCACTGTTCATAAATACGACGAACAATGACGTGAACAGTATCGTAAACAATGATTTAAACAATGTCATGATCATGAAAAATGTCCTTGTGAATAGTGCATGAATAATGACTTTTACCTGTAAAACAAAGGTTGTTAGTATATATTGTAAAAAATTGGTTAATAAAGTAATGAAGTTAGTTAATAAACGGTCAAATATTAAAAATAATAGTAAAATAAAGTTTATTAATGAAATGTAAATAGTTGATTAATAAAGTGACGAAGTTGGCTAATAAACGTCCATAATTTAAAAGTAATTTTAGTATTAAAACATTACGGAATTATGAAGTTGGTTAATCACACAATTTTATATCAGTATCTCTTAATATAAATAAAATAATTTAAATTTTTTTATTTTATATTCTGCTCTTTGTCTCCTAACATCAGAAGCAGTTGATATCTTACCGGGAGTTCAGAGACCTAAAAATGACAATATTGTATCTCCTAAATCTATGAATGTAATTTTTAAAATGATTGATTTTGCGGTCTAAAAAGGAGTAACTCCGCTTGCATTCTATTTTTGTATTAATCTAACTTTTAATGATAATAGAAATATTAATCCTTAAAATTTGAATTTTGAAAAGAAAACAAATTTAAAAAAAATTTATTTTATTCTTATAATATTTCACTGTTCAGTGAAATATAACTTTAGTGTAAGAATATCATTTTTTTAAAAAACAATTGATGTCCGACCTATAAATAATGTATCCAAGGTAGACATGGGAACCAACCGCAAACCAATTACAATATCTTACACCTTCATATACTGATTTCATGGTGACAATGAAATTTCCTTCTCCAACCAAACTGCTCTCTCTATTATTGTCATTTGTAATGATATGCAATATAGTAAGATGTAAAACAAATAGTTCTTGCAACCAAAAGGACAAACAAATACTTATATGTTTTAAACATGGACTCAGTGATCCATTAGGCATGTTGTCAACATGGTCCAGCAAACAAGATTGTTGTGAATGGAGAGGAGTTGTTTGTGACATCAATGGGAGAGTCACCAATCTCACCCTCCCTTGTTCAACTGATGACTACATCATTGACAACACAAAGAACAAAGCACATTGTTTGGGTGGTAATTTTCATCTTTCTTTATTTGAGCTTGAGTTTTCATCTTTCTTTATTTTTTTCCCCTTAGAATTACACATATAATTAAAATTAGTGGTAGTACAATAATTTGAAAAATATATATATATATTTTGAGAAGAACATTTCCTTTTAAAAAAATTACATAATTAAGTTGACATAAAAAAGTAAATCATTAACCTTCAAGATATATTTTTTCTTACCTTTTATTTTCTTTGCCGTTTAAGACATTTTGGTGTTTAACGATTTTTTTACATAATCTCTTTTGTAAAGTCATATATGATCTCTTAATTCATTTATTTTTCAGGTAAACATCCTGGATTCATGTATTTTGGGGCTATTGTAGACACGCCTTTGTTGTGTACATAGAGTGTCTTTCATTGTTGTGTAATAAACTTAAGTTGCCTTTTGATTGTTTACAGAATTTCTTGTAATTTAAGATTAGTGTGAATTTGTAAAATAAGTCATCAATAACTATCTTGTGTTGGTTTACTTTTTGTTTTTTGAATTTTCAAAAATTAAATTTTGTTTTACCTTTGAATTACAAGTTTTTTGCTTGAGCATGAATGATAGCTGGCCAGGAAGAAAGAATTTGAGATGGGACATTATGGAAAAAAGGAGCTAATAGAGTAAAAACTATGCCCATATTTCTTCACAGAAATTCCATAAAATTTTGGTGCAAAAGAGATGTACAAAGTCTTTCAAAAGTATAGAAAAATAGAAGAAGTGGTCATTCTGCCAAAGCAAGACAAAAGAGAGAGAGAGATTCAAATTTGCAATAGTTGACATGCTGTCTATCTTCATGGTAATTGCTCCATGATCTTTCCCTGTTATCTCTTCGACCAAGATCACCATCCAAGTTGCTTGACATGCACAGAGAGAAGCAGCTATGTATTTTTCTTCGCATGATGATAATGCCACTACTGGTTCCTTTCTTGAATTCCAAGCAACTGGTGCACCACCTAGCATAAACACATATCCTGCTGTTGACTTTCGATCTTCAGCATCACTACACCAACTCGAATCAGTGTATCCCACTAACTTGCATTCTTTTCCTTTATCAGTTGCAGGAAACAAAATTCCATAATCGAAAGTTCCATTGAGATACCTTAGTATCCTCTTCACTGCTGCTAGATGTGATACCCTTAGCTTCTGCATGAATCTACTTACCATTCCTACACTGTATGCTAAGTCAGACCTTGTATGACAAAGGTATCTCAAAGATCCAATAAGTCTTCTGTATTGGGTTGGGTCGACATCATCTTCATCTGCATCTTTCGATAGTTGCAGTCTTGGTTCTGTAGGTGTCGAAGTTGAGTTGTATTCTTCAATCTCAAACCTCTTCAGAATTTCTCCTGCATATCTTCTTTGATACATCATCAAACCCCTACTACTCTTGTAGAATTTGATGCCAAGGAAATATGCAATCTCACCCAGATCAGACATTTCGAATTCCTTGCTGAGATCATCTTTGAAGTCTTCAATCTAACTTTTGCAGCTACTTGTTATCAACAAATCATCTACATAGAGACATAGTATAAGCAATTCACTATTGCTTCTTCTTACATATACTCCATGTTTAGTTGTGCACTTCACAAATTCCTTCTCCCTTAGGAAGCTATCAATTTTCTTATTCAAAGCTCTTGGAGCTTGTTTCAATACATACAGGGCTTTATGCAGCCTGTACACCTTTCTTTCTTCGTCATGTTTCACAAACCCAAATGGTTGTTTAACATAAACTTCTTCGTCTAACGGTCCATTCAGGAATGCACACTTTACGTCCATCTGACATATGTGCCAACTTTTTATTTCTGCTAGACCAACAACCAACTTGATTGTTTCGATCCTAGCAACAGGTGCAAAAACATCATCAAAGTCTATTCCTTCTTTTTCACATAGCCTGTCGAAGTCTTTCGACACATATTCTCCACCACCATCAATTCTCAAAACTTTGAGTTTTCGACCACTTTGTCTTTCGACCATCGACTTAAACTTGGCAAATACTTCAATCACTTCACTTTTCTTCTTGATCAGGTAAGTCTGCAACTTCCGACTAAAGTCATCTATGAATGTAACAAAGTATTTGTTACCTCCCATCGAATCCACCTGGATTGGTCCGTATACATCAGAGTATATGACTTCACGAATAGCCTTCGATCTGCTTCCTGCATCCTTGCTGAATCTATTCTTGTGTTGCTTCTCCTGCACACATTCCTCACATACTTCCTTTGGAATGTCAGTTCCAGGAAATCCTGAAACCATATTTTTTCTCTTCAAGTCTATCATGTCTCTGAAGTTGAGATGGCCTAGTCTATAATGCCATATCCATTCATCTCTGCTAGCTGCAGTCGAAAGGCACTTGTGCTCCATCACATTTAGTTCAATCTTGAAGGTTCGATTCTGAGACATAGGATCCTTCAAGATTAATCTCCCATTTGCATCAATGACTCTCATCATCTTATCTTTGATTGACACTTTATAATTCTTTTCGACCAACTTCCCTATACTGAGCAAATTTCTCTTCATGCCTGGTATGTACAACACATTGGAGATAACTGACCTTTTGCCATCTTTCCTCATAATCATAACATCACCAGTACCTTCAGCTGCTAGGGTATTGTCATTTGAAAATTTTACCATATTTTTCATTAAGGGCTTTATGTTAACAAACCAGTCTTTCCTTCCAGACAATTGTGGTGAACATCCTGAATCTAAGTATCATTGGTCCTTGAATCCATCTTCATCTCTTGTTGTGACCATCAACATCATCTCTTCTTCTTCATGTTTTGCAAGCTTTACATCACTTTCTTGATTCTTTTGTTTTTCTGGACAATCACTCGAATAGTGACCATACTTCAGACAATTGTAACATTGAATGTGACTCTTGTCAGGTTTTTGACCACCACCTCTTCCTCTATTTGCAACACCACCTCTTTGGTTTCCTTGGTATGGTCTTCTTTGATTCGACACGTTTCCTTTGATCTAGTTTCCTCTACCATTCGATTTGTTGTATCCACCTCAACCTCTTCCGAAACACTTTCCTTTGCCTTTGGTTTCTTTTGCTGAATGTGCCTGCAAGGCCATATCACTCTTTGATATTCATGCAGCTCTTTTGATCATTCTCTGTTCGTAAGATTCAAGCGTCCCTTGAATATATTTCTTTGTCACTTTCGACAAGTCTTTCCCTTCTTCTATCGCCACCACTATGTGGTAGAACTTAGGAGGTAAAGATCTCAAGATCTTCGAAACAACAACTCTTGTTGTTAATGTTTCTCCACATGCCTTGATTTGATTCACTAGTTTTGTAACTCTAGTGAAGAAATCAGATATGCTCTCACTATCTTCCATCTAAAGCAATTCACAGGTTCTCTTGTGAGTTTGTAACCTCACTTCTTTTACCTTTTCTGCACCACCAAAGGACTTCTCAAGAATGTCCCAAGATTCTTTTGCAGATTCTGAATCACTAACTTTTTAAAAGTTTTCTGGACTCAGACATTGATGAATTATAAATAGCGCTTTATAACTCAGCTTCTCAATTTCTATGTGTTTCTTCTTTTCTTCTTCTGAAGCGTTTTTTTCAAGCGCTTCGACTCCATCTTTTACAAGGTCCCAAAGACCTTGACACCTGAATAACACTTTCATCTGTTTACACCAATTCTCATAGTTGTCTACTTTTAGAATTGATAGAGTTGCTAGATAATTTGTATTCCCATAATTTGCCATCGTGAATTCTTCAATCGTTCTTGATTGACACTTCCCTCGAATCGAAACAAAGCTCTTAATACCAGATGTTGGAAACCCACCAAATATCTGTGATGAATTTCTACACAATGGCAGTGAATTATGAGAAAGAAAAGAAAAGAAAGAAGACAATTATTTTTTGCAAAGTTTCTCTCTGCCCACAAATTGTGGAAACTTTGTTATTCACTTTGCTACTGCAAAATACTGTGAATGACTTAATTGACTTTCTTACAAAAATAGGGGTTACTCCCTCTATTTATAACTGAGCTTGCACCCTAAGCCCAAAGCCCAAAATATCTATTTTGTTACTAAATCAAATCTAATCTATTCTAGACTTAAATCAAATCTATTTAAATCTAAAACAAATCTAGCTTGCTTCGATCACAAGCTAACCCTTTGACACATAGTTTTGACACACTGAATTACAATTTAACAATTAATTGGAAGCTACACTACTACATAAAAGTCATTTCATAACTGTTGGAAAAAAATACCATAATGCATGACCAACCGTTAGGAGGTAAGGGGTGGTTGTATGTATGATACTTTTCATTACAGTCGTGTGACCGTGATTATAAGAACAAGTTACACGTTCAATTCTAAATAAGAATTCTTCTGCTCTTTATCCGTATTTTCCTCTGTAATTGTTAGAACTTGTTTTAATGCTTCTATTTCTTCAACTCCCTTCCTTCACGTCTAATTCATTTTGAAACATATTATTTACTTTGCAAACAAAATTAGAGGTGGAGAAAGGGCGAGTTGAAGAACTAGAAGCATTAAATCTAGTTCTAACGATTATAGAGCGAAATGCAGATAACAGGCTGGAGAATTCTTGTCTAGAATTGAACGTGTAAATTTTTATCTAATGAAATCTAAAAATTATATATTCGATGAGGTGTTGGAAAATACTAAAACCATATAAGATATAATAAATTCATATTTTAAACAAACATTAACAACAACATTCATAAAAAATAAACCTTAAACATCGTACAAATTTTATTAATAACAAAAACAAATTATTTACCGTGAAATTTGGTAAACAAGCGTACAACTTCCAAGTCTGCGCTCCATCAGGATCGCACCGACCCTTGAACATAGGCGGATGGTTCCTCTGAAATGTCTCTAAGACATAGGTTTCATCATTCCCGCCAGCATTAGGCTGATGTTGCATAGCCTAAGCAACAACCTGCAAAGCAGTAGGAATCACAACATCGTTTCTTCCAGCCATTTTACACACAGAAAATAAACGTCAAAAACACGTGTCGACAGTGTACTCATACTAATCGACCGACGGGAGACGCATATCATAGGAAAATCTGGTCTGACAGACCGACCTGCTTTGATACCACTAATGTAACACCCTTCTGAACCCCATGAATATTATAAATAAAAAATCAAAGTAATAGACCAAAAAGGACATCACATCTTTATATAAAACATCATACATACATATCTTACTCTGTAACATGGGTTTTCGATTAAAACATTTATCTCTTTGAAAATATCATCATAAAACGTCAACACATCACAACGGAAATATAGTCTCCAAACATCTTTATTAAATACTTCAAATAAAATTCCATCACACTTCATAATTCATAAGTTAAACTTCAAAACATCTTAAA